GAATGACGCCAGCTAGATGCATATCCACCCTCCTCTTGGATATGCATCTAGCTGGGGTCATCTAGACCCAGCTTCATTTCTACTTGGTTTATGTCGGGGTGGGCAAGATGCAGCTCGCCAGCCCATTCTATCCGGCCCACGGAACCCCTAAAAAATTTGGAAAATTAATATTTATCTGCCCCTGGCTGCCTGTCATGCGGCCCTTGATGGCTTGCCAAAACTTAGTAAGTGGCCCTCTGCCCGAAATAATTGCCAAAGCCTCTGGTTTATGTACCATCTGTCTAGGTATTCATTCTCCACTCACCACCTCACTATCTTTAAGCCCACCTGCTGAAAACGGGCAATGAGCTAGTATCAAAGGGCATGTGTAGATGAAACAGGGGCCCTAAATTGAAGCAATGGGTTTTTAAAAACACCACTTCAATTTAGGTCCCTTTAAACCCCCATGTTGTGCACACACGTGAACTTACCTGCCTCTCCGGCGGAAGGGAAGGGAAGGGAAGGGAGAGCAAGCTGCTGGCGGTCCCTGGGCTGCAGGGGGGCTGCTGCTTCCCTCTGTGGCAGTGGTCGCCCCCCCAGGCAGTACCCGCCTGCAGGCACCCAGCTTGGGTGGTCCCAAGGGGCACTGCAGCCACAGAGGGAAGCACTGGGCCCCCATGCAGCTCAGGCAGGCGGGCAGGCTCCAGGGGAGGGGGAAAAAAAAAGAAAGATCAGGCTCACCACTTTCCTTTTTTTCTTGGGCAGAGCCTGCCTTCCCAGGCTGCTGCCAGGCTGCCTGCAGGGCTTCCTGCAGAGCCGTGGAGCTGCATGGAGCCCGGTGTTTCACTCGCGGCTGTAGGGCAGCAAACTAAAACTCGGAGGAGGAGTTTTAGTTTGCTGTGCCCCAAGTCATTTAAGGTTCATTACGCCACCGAATTTGCTACAGCAGCTGGAATTACTGTGCAATACACTGCTGACGCGTGCCAACACCAACACCATTAAAGCAGTGCAAAGGCATTTAACCCACTTTAAACTGTCGTGCACACGTGCCCCTCATTGCGTCTGCACAAGGCCAAAGACAATTGAGTTGATTCTCTCCACGTCCTTGTTCCTTCCTCAGTCCAGCATACGGAGCTCTCCTCACAGCCCTTGGAGTGCAGCCAGCAGCTGGAATAGTCGCCGGTCAAGTTGGAACAGCATTGGGCGAGCTCCCAGCCTAAAGCGCCGGGGCCAGAGTGGGGAACGCAAGTCGCTGCTATCTGGAGATGGGAAGGAGAGTTCAGAGGATGGGGAAAGCTCTGACGAGGAGCAGTCCAGCCGGGCTGGGAGCGTCAATGGCTCTTTACCTCACCGCATGGAATCACTGGAAGCGAAAGGCTCATTTGACCTCCAGGACACCTTGCAGGTGCCTTCCCTTTACCGAACCAGCAGCATGTACAGCAGCCGAACCTCTGCATCAGAGCATCAAGACTGCAATGGGAAAACTTCCGCAGGGGCCCTGTTACATCAGTTCCATTTGGATGATCCCAGACAAGACTGTGATGACTGTGATGACGAAGGCAACATGGTAAGCAAAAGCTAGCAGCTGTTTCTGCTTCTTGGTGTGCATGTTTGAACTGATGCCAGCTCCCCGAGGAGCATGGTGCTACAGAGCGCACACAGCTGATCTCTTCAGGGTTTATTTCTCATCTGCCTTCATGCCCCAGACCAAAGAATACAGTGTAAATCATGCATATGAGCTACAGCAGGCACCTGGGTTATGGGAGCCCACTTCCCCTGGCACCACTTATACTGGTTGATGTTTCAGACTTCACTGCCATGTTGCATGAGAGCTCTGAAGTAATCTTGAGCCCTCAGCTCTTCCTACCCTACCAAGTCCTATACGTGTACACTGTGCTTTATGAAAGGACAAGCCATGGTCCTTGCCCTAGACACTTCAGGGTAGCCCTAGGCGGAGCATGTTTGCCCCTCCACTTATCCAACAAGAAGGCTCTATCCATTATCAGTCCCCACACAAAAGCATCCCTTCTGTAAATGTTCTCTTCTATGGGACTGAGATCTCAGTGCTTGTCAATTTGCAGCGGGTGAGGGGAGGAGAGCAAGGCAGAGGGGAGGTAAAGGTTGCAAACTGAAATGTTGGCTTTTGAATAATAGTCTGTGCCAGGACAGGCGAAAATGTTATTTGAGCTGTGGATGCACTTTGAAGGGGAGCGTGCAACACTTCTTGGTCTTGTAAACACCAGTTGCCCCCTCCCACATTATAGTTAGCTTGGATTGATGAGCTCCTGAGCTTCAGGGAAAGCCCAGTGACACCAGATATGAGGAACCTTACATTTTGCATGCTGCAAAAGGAGCTTCATGGCACTCCACAATCCCAAGAGAGGTACCAGACAGACCGAGGTAGGGCCCAGTGCAGTGGGCCAAGGGCTTGCACATTGCTGGTCTTTCGATTATATCAATAGCATCTCTTTTTAATGAGAGAGAGCAATAATTTGCCCTTTCTCCAGCTATAAGGCTGAATTCTTCTCTGTGATAAAGCAGGGAATTTCTGTTGACATAAACAAGAGATACAAGGGCAGAATTTGGTCCATTAGTCTCATAGAGACATTAGTCTCATAGAGGCAGCATTAAGCTTTGCATTAATTTCAGTATGAAGAGGCATTAGTCCAATAAGTGTCTCTCTTTCATAGGTCTGAAAAGTGCCACTTAGGAAATGGTAGCTAAAAAGCATGGCAGGGGGAGAAGGAAAATCAGCTGTAATTTTGAGCTGATTAGAGATGCGAAGTGCTGAAGAGTCATCTCCAGTTTTACATATTCCTCGGATCTGTGCTTTCAAATGAATGCCTGTAATTTCCACTAAGATGCCACCGCCCAATTTGTGTAAATGCCAGAGTAGTTTAAGCCACAGAGAAACTTCATCAGCACTAAATATGCAGCTAAAATACAAAGAAGTAAACTGTGAGCTAGCCTACGCCTCATCCAGTGAAGCGAAGGGAATAGTAAGGGGCGAAGTCAGTGCCGCATTTGGCCTCTGGGCAATAAGCAGATTTAGAAGGCAACTAATGAAATAAAGATTTGCAGACAGGCTTTCCTACACAGTGATGATTTGGCTCAGCTTCTGGAGGAGCACAGAAGGGCTCCTGGGATTCTACCTCCCAAAGCAGCACGAGTATAAATATGACACGAACATCTCATTTATTATAAACTTTTCCAGCACTCATCCCTGGCCTTTTCTATTATGTTAGCAAACCCCGCATGGGGTTGCCAAGACTAAACAAGACCTTGAAACATCTTCCATCAGTAGAATTTCGCTCCTCATCCAGAGAAACATGCTACAACCACCATGACACACAATAATATGTGACGGCAATTTGCTAATAAAAAAAAGCCTAAACCATACATAGCTCAGCCAGAGGTCTAGTCTTTTCCTGTGCTGTGAGCCTGCCCTTGCTCTCAGACAGCTGGGTGAGCTCTGCAACCAGGTAAAATTAGTTTTCAAGAGAGAGAAATTGGCAATTAACTGTCATAACCTGATGAGATTTAGGGTAATGGTTTTCATGTTCCTGTCACAAATTGATGTGCCTGATGGACTCACCAGTTTTGTTTCCCTTGAGTATGATGGCATCGGGATTGATGCTGATGATAAAAGTGCTTGCATTGAGTCTCACGCTGAAGATGGAAAGGGCCAAGTGTGATTCATTGCCCAGGGCAGAAAATCCTGATCTGCAGGAAGGTGCCTAAAGGGCCAGGCTAGCAGGGAGAGGAGCTCATTGTGCAAACACGGTAGGGTTGACTGATGGGCCTTGTGAATGAGGAAGTCCTCTGAGACCTTGAATAATAGATATTTCTGGCACCCAATCAGCTCACAAGGCCTTGCAAGTCTTGCCGGGTAGGAAAAGGAATAGGTAGGGCAGAGGGGAAAGACCTCTCCTTTCCCCAACCACAAGGAAGACTAGGGCCGTGGGAGTCACCTTGCCAAAACGGGGAGGATTTGCTTGCTTGCTTGCTTGCTCGGTTACTTTCCTTGGGCAGAATGACTGTGTATAAGATAAATTGCTGGAGGAAACCAGCTCTGTGGGTTGGGGGGTGCCTTCATTTGGCAGTGTTTTTTTTAATTGGCTTTTTAGTTCAAGCCTAAAGAGGCCAGCAAACCTGATAGGATGGGCGGTGACCCAACTGCAGTCCGAGAAAGGAGATAAAGCTTGTTGGTCACCCATACTTGGACAGGAAAAGGCCTGAAATGCTAGCCAGTACCTGAAATGCTTACAGTTGGCTAGGCAGAGAGACCGCAGCACAGCACAAACGCTGGCCGGTCTACCGTCCTGGGCACTGAGAGCACTGAACAACCAGCATGGCTGTGAAAGCACGTAGGCCTTGTGGTGTTAGGATTAATATTGATGAACAGTAATTGTTTTCGAAGCAATGAGAACAATATTGAAGCCTGAAAAGCCACATGGGCATATTTTAGTACAGCTCATGAAGCTGTGAAAAAAAACACAACCTGGAATTTTGTGCATCGATGCTGAAGGCCAGCATTATTCCCAAGCACATACCAAGGAAAAGGAAAGGTTCTTCTGCCCAAAATAGTCTCCAGCAAAATTATCCTACTGCCTCTTGTATATGGATTATCAGGATATCATGAGTGTTTTAACCTGATTCCTAACGTGCTACAAGATGAATTGCATTTTTAAGAAACGGAGGTTTAATTGCTCCTGAAAGAAGCCTTATTAACATAATCAAAAGACCGTGCTCTTACTGCTAGCTTGGAGTCTTTTCATTCTCCTGTCCTATTCAAAGCCAGATTTTTTTTTTCCACCTTACCTGAAGCAAACAATGTTAGGGATGCATTGGAGCGTGCAGGGTCTCTTTCTTTACATCCTGCAGCTAATAAACTGGTAACTGACTGCCATGATTTTCTGAATCAGATTGTGTTTTGCAGCTCTCAAATGAGACCTTTAAAAATGAAGCCTGTGTGCTTCCCATGTATATTAAGCGGCTCAGATACCATGGTGATCAGCAACTGAACACAGTGTAAATGTTTGCTGTAAGCTGACTAAAGACCCTGCTTGTAGGAATGTTTCTAAGAGCTGGGTTCGCTCTGATGTACTTTGCCAAGTTTCTCTTGACTGCTTTGTTGCCTAGTGCTGTAGTAGTGGATCATCAGCTTGACTGATGTTCTTCCACCCTAGAAGTGGCTGCATTTCGTGGGTGCTCTTGGTAATAGTTTGTAAACTTCCTTGAGGACCTGTGAGAAGCGCTATACAATTGCAAAATAAGAGTCATAGTTCTTTCATCTTCTTTATTAGTTTTAGCCTTCCATAAAAACTCAGTTTCCTGTGCTTTTTCATGCTAAAACCTATGTATGTTGCAAATCACAAAACCAGAGTGACTAGGAAATATCATTTAAATGAATGAACTAATACCAAGCCATCAGGTTCCTGAGCTCCCATTTCTGGTGGGACGTTTTTGGGGAGAGAGGGGGGACTATTTGGATCAAAATGACCCATGAGGGCTAAGTGGATCCTTAATAAGTAAAGCTCAATAAGGACTCGCTGCTGGATGTATTTGATCACTTCTGCTCTAAAATAAAAAGAAGAGCAAGGGCTGAGTCTGAGCTCCCTGCTCCAGTTCACACAGGTACCTGCACTCTGTCTGCAGTGAGTTTACACTGGTGTGTGTGAAACCAGAATGAAGTCCAGTATCTCTTCTCCACAAAATACAGCCAATTCTGTGCCTGATTGCACTGGCGCACATTTGGAATAAATCCACTCTGATCGTGGCTTGCTACGAAGCTGGATTTATGCAGGTAGGACGGAGATGGAGATCTGACCTGAGATCTTTGTTGTGCAAATCTGCCGAGCCCATTTTTTGTCACACATCAGCACACACACCGGCTGTAAAATTTCCCCATTCTTCAAACAAACAAACAAAAAAATCCCCTTTCATGTGAAACTAAATGAGCGAAAACCAGGAGGGCAAGCGAGGAACCTGCATAGTCTAAAACCAAGAGGCTCTTCAAACGGAAGAGCTCCCTCCTCCCTCATGCAAAGTGCGAATCATTCCATTTGCACTTTTACATCTGCTTTCATCTTTGGCTGTCTTGCACTATTTCTGTAACAGCAGATCAACACTCACAATGTTGTCTCAGCCTTCTCCTCCTAAATGTTTAGAATTAAATAACCAAGGCCTGAGACTCACAATACAGCTTTTAGCTTGCATTCAGGTCACTTGCTAGACAGAGATAGTTATTCAGCAGATTTCTTTTCCTATAATAAAACTTGTATAGATCAGACTTTCTCCATTACCCCAAGAAGTGTATCAGTCATCTTCTAATGCTAACATGCTTTGCTTCTTCTCTCCGAAACACGTTAATAAATGAAATTCCTAATCCAGGAGCTGTTTATCAGTCGGTCTCGTCAGTGCAGCATCTGAAGGGTGCTCCATTCCCTCTTTGATACACAAAGGAAATGCCATTTAATATCAGTGAGTTAGACATGCCCTTCCTCCACTGAATCAACCACTTGGGCATATATTTTGTCATCTGGGCACAGAGCGAATCTAACCTGCACTACCCACCAGGGTTATGTCCATACCATTTGGTCTAAAATCATAGCAACTAAATTCCTGTTTTTTCTCTTCGTTCTTCTTCCCCATCTTTATCCATCCTGTCCAGGTGTGTTTTATGAACAAATGGATATGATTTAAACAACATAATTGATATATCTCTTTGAACATAATGCCAACTCAGGCAGCAATCAGGCTGATTGTAAGCAATGTTGTGTGTCTGGACCTTCCAGAGAAAGCACTTGATGGGAGTGAGTAGGCTGGAAGCATTCGTTTTTTATTCCACAAAAATTTACATTGGGCTCCAATTATCGTAGGCCAAATTTTGCTGCTACACTGGTGTAAATGGGGTAATCCCCTAGACTCCAGATTTACACCAGCATAGCAAGGAACAGAACATGGTCCTATTTGAGGAAACCATAGCTGGTGACTGGGGGATCTACATCCCCACTGCTTATATTAAATAGAGGGACAGGCTGGAAGATCACTTTTTTCCTTTGTTGTCTGATTTAGCCTATGAACTGCTAGCTGCAACAATTAGATGAAACCCAAAATATCTTTGGCATTAAAAATTGGACAAAAGGAACATAAAGAAGCATTCTGTGCTGCTGACGCACTACTATTCACTACAAATCCCCAAGATAAATAGCAGAACTGCTTTGAATAATAGAGACTTCTGGAATCCATCCAGCCTACAAACTGAAGTGGACCAATTGCAGCTATTACCCCATGCCTAGAGGCTGGGGTCGCTATCACTGGTCCGTCTAGAGCTCAAAGCAGGCACTGATTTTTTTTTAAATATCTGGATTATTAAGCCAACTAGGCTAGCTGAGGGGCTAACATGAACCCATGAATATGTGATTTGGAAAGGTGGGAGCATTTCTGACTCTCTTCCTCCCCCTATGGGGGCAAAAATCGAATACAATGAATAAGTTATGAAACCTTCTTTTATAGGGGTGGGGAGGGTGGAAGTGGGAATAAATCTAACTTTTCTTTATCGAAACCGTCCTCATTACCTTCAGAAGGTGGCTTGCATTTTCCAAAGGGTTCGGTTTGTCACCAGGCATTTTCATTAAAGCGGACACCACACTTTCTATTACCCGTCTCTAATGAGACTCCTGGCTGAGTGCATAGAGGTACAGAAAGCATTTCACCCATTCCACTCAATTACCCTGACAGCTCTGGTTTTTACGTTCCAAACTACCTCCAATCGCTAAGTGTGCAGCTCGGGAGGCAGACGGTGTCTTCTGTTTAAAGCAGAAATATTTACCCTCCCTTGTTTGATACCCTGTAGAGGGGAATGCTGGAGGTGGCAGGGTCTACTGGGTAGGGCACCTCTCCGCTGGGTCAGCCGCTCATCCTCTGGGCAAGCTTGGGCAGGTCATTGCATTGGGAAGTGGGTGTGAAAACGCAGACCTTCCTGAGTAACCTGCTCTGAGCATACCCATGTTGGAGGTATTGCATTCTGGCCTTCAGGGACAGGTGCCCTTCTAGTTGCTTTACAGATGGTGCTACATAGGGGAAGATGCATGTGATGTTAGATTTGCATTTCACTTCCAGCCAGACACTAAGGGCCGGGCATCAAAGCCCATTGAGGTTAATAGGCAGCCTCCTATTAACTCTCATGGACATAGGGCCAAGGCCCCCGAATTCGTCCTCCTCTCCTTAAGGCGCCTTGACATGGCTGGAAAAGACGAGCATCTATCAGACTGGCTCTTCTACTACAGGATGGGCTCTAGTTCAAACAAGGATTTAATTCAGGGAGGTCCTAGGGCCTGTGTGGTGCAGGGGGTCAGGCTAGAGGCCTGCAGTGGTCCCTTCTGACTTTCATAATCTTATAAATCTCAGTGTTGTGCTCATGGAGCAAAATGGAAGTCCTAGGCAATTCTTCCTATTCCCTTCTTCCTGGCTGCACTCATGGGAGCCCTCGAGGTTCTCTTTTTTTTCCCTTTTTCCACTTTTTTTATGTTACAATTAAACCTTAAAAGATTCCAGCAAGCATCTGTGAAGTAAGCAGAAGGCCTGCAGCTGACCAGGGCTGGTTTTTGACTCTTCGGGCCAGGGCTAGTATATCTGTTTGTCCTGTCAGTCTGCTTCATGCCAGTGGTTCTCAGCTAGGGTGATGCGGCTTTCCCCACGTGGCTGGCAGCCATGGCACAGGCACTGCCACTGCAACCAGCTAAAAGTGCCCTGCATCCCACATGCACAGCCAGATCAGTAAGCACTGTGACACACACAGCATTACATTTACCAGATAACCCTAATGCAAGCAGAAGTGCACACCCATGCCACAGGCATTCCT